GTGTGTGAGAGTATGTGTGTGTGTGTGTGTGTGTGTGTGTGTGTGTGTGTGTGTGCGTGCGTGCGTGCGTGCGTGCATGCGTGCGTGCGTGTGTGTGTGTGTAAATGCATACATAAAGAACATACCACAGAGAGTGTGCTGCTCATCGGTGCTGTCAGCACAGCTCTGTACTCCGTCACAGAAGTCCGACTGAGGAACACATGCTGATCCATCAGCACAAGCCTTCTGTCCTTCTGGGCAACTCACTGTAGTGACTGACAGCAGACGCACCACTATCACCAACAACTACAGAAATGTTCGCTTTTTAAACAAATTACTCATTTTTCAAACATTTAAATGCATAGTTATAAACTATACAATACCATTCAAAATTTGGGGTCGGTAAGATTTTCTTAAATGTTTTTGAATTAAGTCTCCTATTCTCTGATCATAAATAGATAAAAAAACTGTAATATTGTACAATTTTAATAGAATTTCAAACAGCTGTTTTCTATGTGAATCTCTGTTAAACTGTAATGTATTTCTGTGATGCGCAGCTGTATTTTCAGCATCATTACTCCAGTCTTCAGTGCCACATGATCTTCAGAAATCATTCTAATATGCTGATTTGCTGCTCAAGAAACATTTCTGATTATTATCAATGTTGAAAACAGTCGTGCTGCACAATATTTCTGTGGAAACTGATACATTTTATTTTTCAGGATTCACAGATTAATAGAAAGTTCAAATGCATAGCATTTATGTAATGCTGTTTTTGCAACATTATACGTAAATGTCACTTTTGATTAATTTAATGCAACCTTGCTAACTAAAAGAACTAATTTCTTTCAAAAAAATAATAAAATGTTACTGACTGGGGTCAACTTTTGAACATTATATATACGCTGTCTATAAATAATTGTGCTGTGACATGCTATACTCCATCTAAAACTACATTTGGGTAACTTTAAGCATGTAGCATTTATAAACATATTAATACAATTAATAATTAATGAAATTTTTCAATTAACCCGTCACACCTCAGGACAAAAAAAGTGATTAACACCACAAAAAAAAAATGAGTTTCACACATTCCCATTCAAATAAATCCATTTTAACCAAATATCTTGATGTTGATTTTTGATGTTGGGTTGGTGTTGACGTGGACTTTTATATTACATACATTTTTTTTTTTTTTTTTAATTTAATAATAATGAATTATTAATAATTTAATTCTTAATTTTTTAATTTATTTATTTTTAATTATTAAATTAATAATTAATTTAATAATTAAAAAAATATTTAGCTTTTTGATCCATAATGTGACATCCATCCCACATTTATATCACAATGTCATTTTATAATCTAAATACAATCAAAACAACAAATAAAACACGGAGACTTTGTCCCGGTCAGATCATGTCATGAGCAATAAAGCAGAAAGCGCTCGCACCTGCTCCTGCTGTGGACGCTCTCTGGGTTGTAGCTGGTTTATCTGAGGGTAGAAATTAGAAATGGCATAAAATCAGCTGAAAACCCCTCCAAACTAAGAGTTGCATAAATTAAATGACTTAAGTCTATTAAATGAACTACTTAAATCAATTACTCTAGTCTATACAGTCACACGGAGATCTTTATCGATGTGAAACTGTAGATATGCCTTGAAGACATTATTACCTGTGACCTGCACACTGTGGGTGTCGATCACGAGTCCATCATGTGAAGCCTGCTGTAAACCATCCACTAACTGCTCCTGAGCCGTCTGTGAGTCCAGAACGCCTCGGAAGACCAGCTCAAAAAACACCAGCACGCTGCCTTCACTGAGAGCAGACACACGATCAACACTCAAACAATCACGCGTTCACCTGAAGAGCACAAGACCTTTTAGAGAATTGGTCTTTGATTAGGTTTCTGATCTGAACTTGAATTTTAAGCATAAACCTTACTATTTGTTTTTGTTATATTTATGCATTAAACTACACAAACAAACAAACAATAAATAAATACCTCTCTAGTAAATTTATCTCGTTTTAAAAATATCTCAAATAGAAATTCTCATTAAGAAAATGTATTTTTGTACATTAAGTATTTCACAAACTCACAGCTGTTGGTTATTACATCTCCTAAATACATGGACAAAATATTAAAAATGCTAGCTTAGGTGCTTTAATATATAAAGTCTGACCTGAACTCGTTGACCTTGCAGCTTCTGAACTGCTCTTTAAGCGAAGTACGACTGTAAGCGTCACTGATCTGCAGAGAAAACTGATTTATTATCACACTGAAATACTGATCAATAACTTACAGAATGAAAGATACGCATTACAATCATTACTAGGATTTCATCTCATGAAAATGTGTTAAAAAAGTCTAAAATTATCATTTATGTCATTAAGCTTATCGTTAATGTGCCATTAACATTTTTCTATTTGATCATTATTTTCATGACAATTAAGCAACTTAATTTTCAAAATTATCATTATGCATATACGTACATAATATTATAATATAAATATAAAATAACATATTGTTTTTATAATAATATAATAAACTATAAATATAAATGTATTATATTCTCGTTGACATTATAAAGCAATGTCTACAGTATTACTGTAAAACAATTATTGTCATTTTTTCTCTCTTATACGCAGTGTCGGGTACCATGATGTGTAAATTAATTTCTGGCGATTTCTCACATTCCAGTAAACGTAGAAAACATGTTATAAAGCGGAGAGTTCCGGTGCTTGATTCTGATTGGCTGAGCCGCGTTCGAAGCTGTTGTAAATGACGCTACAAAGTAACATACACCTTTGTTTACGTTTGTGTGTTGCTCGGCAACCACTTTGTAGCAACCACAACTGTTTCTGAGGAGCTACATTGTTTGGTGGAAGAATACAGCAATAAGCCCCAAGAAGCCGTGGTAAACCACGGCTTCTTGGGGCTTATTGCTTTATTTTAGTTGTCATGCAATTAATGTCACAATGCAAAATCTCTTTTGGTTCAAAAGTGTATATAAAACATGTTTTGGCATGCTTCATGATTCATCACGTGAATTAAAGAAACAGTCCACCCAAAAATGAACATCCTCACGTCATCAGACTTTCACTGTCTGCTCTTCTGAATAAAGTCCGTCATATGACAGGATCTTGACTTTGGGTGACTTCTTCTTTAAGCTGTACCTTCTGCTCGCTGTCGTACGCCAGAGCTTTGAACCGGTCGCTGTGTTTGTCCAGCAGCTCCTCCGTGAAGAGGCTTCCGTTGGAGATGACGAGGATCCCGCTGAACTCTGAGCCGCTCTGCTCTCCTCCAGCATCTGAAACATCACACACATCACTGCAGAACACCTGCAGCCTCCAGCAGAGCTCATCAGAGAGGGACAGTGTCGTACCTGTGCTGTCTAGAGCGAGCCAGGTGACGGCGCTGAGTCCCACACAAACCACGAACAGCAGAAGCAGCAGCGCAGAGAGCAGCAGCTCCGCAGACGACAGACCACACGCTCTTCTGGACATCACACTCACAGCACTCAAACCTGCTAACTCACCGCTTCTAACACACGTCTGTCCTTCTTATACAGCCTAGCAATAAACCTTTATTGAACAGTGACTATTATTGTTGATTAGAACCATGTGCCACTTTATCAGCATTTCCAGAAAGCATTAATAAAAGGCGTAACGCAAGAGGAAGCACAAATATAATGTTCAAACGCTTGGGCTTTAACTATCATTTCTAATCCAAATAGATATCCAAATATATTCTAGAATGAAGAATCACCATGTGCTGAGAAAACTAACCCATCCTCTCACCTTGACCTCCAGGAAAAACGTCTTGAGACAGCTTTAGGGGGGCTTTTTTTTTATTTTATTACAATTTTAATTGAAATTTTTTTTAATTATTCAAAAATACAGTAAAATAGGTTTTTATATATATATATATATATATATATATATATATATACATATATACACACTGTATATGTGTGTATGTATATATACAGTATATATATATATTTTTTTATGTTCACTCCTGTTCAAAAGTTTGAGTCTGTAATATTATTTAATGTTTCTGAAAAAAGCCTCTCCTGCTCATCAGGGCTGCATTTATTTGTTTAAAAATACAGTAAAAATTGTGAAATATTATTTCACTTTAGAATAACTGTTTTCTATGTGAATATCTGTTAAACTGTAATGTATTTCTGTGATGCGCAGCTGTATTTTCAGCATCATTACTCCAGTCTTCAGTGCCACATGATCTTCAGAAATCATTCTAATATGCTGATCTGCTGCTCAAGAAACATTTCTGATTATTATCAATGTTGAAAACAGTCGTGCTGCACAATATTTTATTTTTCAGGATTCACGGATTAATAGAAAGCTCAGCATGTATTTGAAATAGAAATCTTTTGTAACACTAAAACATGTTTTTTGACACCAGCACCAACTGAAATTCTCTTGTACTTGAAGACATTTATTAAGTGTAAAGTCTGAAGGTAACTATTATTGCATCTTATCATGTTAGTTATAATTCAAGAGAGGGAGAGGCTTTGGCTGAAGGCTAGTTCAGGTAATAAGAGTCAACGCTTGATGTTAAAAACAGCTGTAAATTACCATCCAGCATAAATGTGACATTTTGTGTGACGTTAAGCTTTTATCCTCCTATAAAAATGTCATTGTAGATGACAAAGGCACCAATCAATCATCTTTCTAATCACCAGAACTGAGACGCAAAGCCTTGCTGAATGTGAACGCAAGCTGAAGTTGCAAAAAAACATTTCAGATCATCAGATTTGCGCATCAGTATTATATAATTTTATTTTTATTATTATTATTATATTTTCTCTTATGTTATATGTTATGTTATGTTATGTTATGTTATGTTATGTTATGTTATGTTATGTTATGTTATGTTATGTTATGTTTTTCTCGTATGTTACCATGTCATATGGGAAATAAAATTAAAATATTGAACTGATAAAATTATGAACACACCACATAACATTTCAAAATGCTAAATATGACTCTCTA